TGTGACTGGCATTCCTGTCCAAAGACAACTCAGCTCACCCGGCAGGAAGTAGGGAGCTGGCGATCAAATGTTGCCTGTGTTGTAGTCAAAGGTCTGGGTTCCCAGGCTGCCCATCAGCAGAGAAGCACAGAAATAAAGCGGAATCTGGAACTACGTGGACTCTAAGGTTCCTGTGTGGCTGGCTCAGAGGTCCTGTGTAACTGCCTAGGGGACCAGACCTCGGGGTTGGGCAATCCTAACCAACATTTGCCACCTCTCCAAGCATTTTTGGTTGTCACAACTTGGGGCTTTGTGGTGATCCTGACTTCCAGTGAATAGGACCCCACTCTGCATCCCACCACACACAGCCCCTCACCACCAAAAGAATGGTCTTCCTTCCCGAATGTCAGGAGTGCCAGGCTGAGGAGCCTGCCCCCTGAAGACCAGCCAGCACAGTGGAGGGACTCCCTGCCTAGGTTGGCTGGTCCAGGCACTGGTCCTCTTTGCAAACAGGGACCTGCTTCCTTGAGCTCAGCTGAGACATACATGATCCTGGGCTGGTGGATCAGATGGGACTGAGACTTGTGAATTATCTCAACCCCAGGCTCTAAGGATAGGGAAAGGGGGGACACCGTGGGCTAACCCCAACAATCCCCACATTCCTTTCCCATCCCCCACCCATTCTCACCCGGGGCTGGGCAGGAACAGGGACAGCTGGCGCCGGCCGGTGCTCCAGGGGATCCGATTGCAGGGCATCAGGGCGGGGCTCATATGAAAGTAGGGTTGGCTGGGGAGTGCAGGGGCGGGGCCCTAGAAGGAGAGTGTCAATGGGGCTCAGGCCACCTCCCCGCTCCCTGACACCCCAAAGCCTAGGAGAGAGTAAGGGTGTCTGCACAGGATCTCCTGAGCCAGCACCCTTGTGATCCAGCAGGGTCCTGTTGGAACCTCCCCATTGGGATTCAGTATAAAACCTTCCCAGATCCTGACCTCTTGCACCCTCAAGTGGCCCTGTGAGGGGACAGGGTCATCGAGCTTCTGTCTCTTTATGGACCCTCCAGGGAGCCAGCAGGCAGGCAGCTGGCTAGGATGAGCCTCCTACCCGCCTCAGCTCCTGTGTAAGCCACAGCCCTGAGGTGACCTTTCATCTGCCTGGTTCTTCTGCAGACTTGGGCAGGGGCTGCTGTGCCCGCTCAACTCCAAGGCAGACAAAGCAGAGTCAGGCCAGGCCATGACAGATGTCCTGTGGCCGGGAGAGTTACTACTACTCTGGAACTACCACTCCACAACTTGGGAGCTCAGATTTCTCCTAGTAAAGGAGGAGAGGGACCACAATGGCTCCTCTCGATGCCCCTATAGGTACTTGGGGACAGTTGTCTGGTCCCAGCCCTCCAGCCTGGCTGCTTGGGTTTCCTGTGCAACTAGGCCACTCACCAAGGCCTTTTCCTTTACACATCAGGAAACAGCCAAGATAGACCAACATATACCCCCAACCTCCCAAATAGCTATTGCACCCACCCTGGGGCCCCAGTACCTAGGGCAAGCAGGGATGTGGTTAAGTCCAAGGACAGCAAATGGTTCAGTCTAGAGGCCTGCTAGTATAGGAGGACACATTGAGTGTTTCCCTTTGGCAGTGGTTTTCGTGTGAGTGCTCTTTTGTCAAAGGTTGTCACTCCTATTTTACAGACGAAAGGAGACTAGGGCAAGGTCAAATGAACCGTGCAAGCCCACAGCTAGCAAGCGCCCTTTGATTTCTATACCATGAATAGACATCTCCACTCTGCAGAGTCACTTCCTACTACAAAGTTCACTGAGTCTCAGGGACCACCTCTTTGAGACTGCTGGTAGCCCCCCTCTCAATGGGACCCACCACCCCCACTTCTGCCATTAACAGCTACCTTTCCTCGATGAGGATGAGGTCAGAGCCACATGGGGCCTGAGGATGAGGTCAGCGCACTCTGTCTGGTGCAGATGCTAAATAATTCACGGTGCTGCTCTAAGTGGGGGCTGCAGCTTCCTGGAGGACCCAGCGTGGAGACAGCAGACAGGAAGTCTGTTTAGCAGCCCCCTGAGCACAACCTTGGAGTGTCCTCTGTAGAGCTAGAGAAAGTGCTGGTCTTGATGAGAGCCCGAGTGACGACAGCTAGGCAAGCCACCTAAGCTTTCCATCTCTTCAGTGAGGAACTGAAGTGTTGATGAACAAGTGATGGGCCACGAGAGCAAGCTGGGTGTGGCCATGACGAGGCAGGCCACTTGGCCTGGGGCAGCTGTGATCATCCCCAGTGAACCTATCTGTGAGCACACCATTTTATGAAGACAAAACGGAGCTGTGGCCTGCCTCCACAGCCCTGCCAGAACTAGCTGGATTGTCTGTTATCTGAAGTGTCCCCTTCCCCACCCCCATTCCTCGTCTCCTGCATCTTGTGTGAGAAGCATTTACCTGTGCTTGGCTGGTAAGAACTCAGTGTCTTTCCCCCCCAGTCCCACCCCCAAGTCAGGGTTTCTCTGTGTAACAGTCCCGGCTGTCTGGAACACATTCTGTATGTAGACCAGGCTGGCCTTGAACTCACAGAGATCTGCCTGCCTCTGCCTCCCGAATGCTGGGATTAAAGGCGTGCGCCACTGCTGGGCTCATTGTCCTTTTTTCCCCCCTTCTCACTCCGTAGCCCTGGAACTCATGAAGATCTGCCTGCCTAAGTTTTCCAAAGTACTTGATTAAAGGCGGGCAACATCATCATGCAACATCAACGCTGAGAATTTGACGTCTTTTTGGAGACCTGGTTTTCTCCCTTAAAATCTCTAACCAAAGAGAAGTTATCTGGAGTCAAACAGCCATTGCTGGTAGAGCAGAGATGGGGATGGGAGGGGGTGAGAGGCAGGCAGGCAGGCCGGCTGACAGACACCCCCAGAATGTCTTTGAAATACACAGGAACACAGAGGCATTAACCCCTCATTTAATTTTGAGTAGTTACAAAGTTGAACCTCCATTAACAGTGTTGCTGTGGCATCTACCAAGGGACAGGCCTGTGAATGATGAACTTGAACGGGGCCCGGGCCTACTCACTGTCTACCATTCAAGTCTTGAGTGTGACACTGCGCTGTTAATTAGGAGTCCCCCCAAAAAAGACATATTTCTCCACTGAAACGGAAACTGGAAGATACAAGGTAAGTGCCACGGAGACTTCTGCATCCAGGCAGGCCTGCATCTTCCAGAAGCCCATGATCCTCAGCTGCAGCTGAAGCCAGGACGTGGGCTATAAACACAGCCACACCCACCCAGGCATCTGGTGCTTTCTGAGTCCGTTAAGAATCCAGTAAAAGAGCAAACTAGTCCCTTGCTTGCTGTGACAGACTTCAGAGCTCTAGGTTAAGAACAGTGTGAGGTGCATGGAGACCCCCTTCCTTTGTACGGGTGTGGGGGAGGAATTATGTCACTCGTAGGTCGAGCATCACATTTGGAGGTATAGTCCCACTCTGTGGGGACCTTTTACCCAATGATAAAAGGCACAGGCTGCTAAGGACAGCATGGGAGCCATGGACTAAGCATGGGGCACCTTCCTGGGAAGCCACTCATCTTCATCTCTATCTACCTTGGCACTAAATAGTGCTGGGCTAAGGGCCAAGCTCCAGGGCATACTTGGGGAGGGCCTGGAGGAGGCTTGGTCTGGTACCTAAGGGTGGAACAAAGCATGATGATGTGGAGATCTTGGTTCCAGGGTCTGGTACTATTATCATCTCAGTCATCGGTGTCAGCAGCTCGCAGGCCTGAAAGTGGCCCTCTCTGACCTGGGTGGCCATCAGGTTCCTCAGGTGCATGTCCTAAGACCAAGGACACTAGAGCCTCCTCTAGTGATGAAAGCGGCAGGGCTTGTCCAGGTGTCCCAAGGACATCTGCTGCCCAAGGTGAGGTAGAAACTTAGACATCTTCCCATAAGCAATCTCCAGTCCTGGACCCCACACCCCAGCAGCCTGACACAGGAAAGGTTCAAGTCACCCTGAGAACGCAGCCCTGATTCCCACTCACTGTCTCCTAAGGGAGCTCCCAGACCCCAACCACAAATGTCCAAGTAGCCCCAGCAGGTACTTGCAGAACCTAGACATCCAGGTAATTCTGTCTCTGCACCTGTCCTAGGAGCCATCCTGGGAGCTGGCACAGACGCCAAAATCAGACGAGGGCGATTCGGCCAGGGGGTTAATTGAGGTACATAAATAGTGCAAAGCTCTAAGCACCACTGTGGCCCACCAGCTCTTCAACTCTTACATGGGGTTCTCTGTGCGGCAGGGCTGGACAACAAGAAAGCTTCCCCAGGTGGGACAAGTATTGTGATTCCCATTCCCGATGGGGACAGGCAGCGGGGAGGCCAGGATAGGCAGAGTGAACAGTCCTGCCCTGGTGAAGGTAGGGTAGACTCAGTCCAGGAGCAAAGGGGCTGGGACCTGGGACCCTCAGGTCATGAGACACAGCTTGCCCAACCTGGGCTCTGCTCCTAGCTGGTGACTTTGCACAGTCTAGAAGATGGCAGAAGGCCCAGAGTAGAGCAAGGGATAACTTCTGTGTGGCTTGTCTCTAGAGACTCACAGACACGCATATGACATGAGTTGTGTGACACACCAATGGGTTACCAATATGGCCAAGAAGGTCCAGTGTCAAAGCAGTGGCATCGCATACCTGATGTTCACAGTGGGACAGCAACCACCTGGAGAACCACATGGGGACACAGACTCTGTGACTTGGGGGATGTGTTAAGGCAGGAAGGAGACAGGAGTCAACAGTTAGCTCCCTGTAGCTGCAGTCACTTGGGGACCAATAGGCTGCAATGGGCAAGAGGACAGGTGGCCCTATGAGCACCAGTCACATGCTTCAGGCCTATCCCAAGGTCCCCACTCGGTCCAAAGCTTCATATTGGTGGCCTCTGGTCCCTCCCAGCTCCAAGGACAAAGGTGGGGAAACTGCTGGGCCCTGCTCAGCTGGATGCAGAGCAAGGAGGGTATCCGGATGAGGTGTGGTCCAGGGAAGAGGGCATCTACCATCTCGTTTTGTTTTTCGGGGACTGATCCTAAAGTAACCAGAAAGAACAAGAGTCAAAAGGGATGGACTCTACTGCTCATAGTCCAGGTCCTGGATTGTACTTTTTAAAAAGAGGCTCAGTCTGTGGGGAGTGATGCAATCTAAACACAGAAGTTTGGAAGAAGTCTGGAGTTTCCTTCCAACAACCTTTCTCTCCCTTTCAACAAAAACCTATTTTTTTGCTGGGTATTGGCACACACCATTAATCCCAGCATTCGAGAGGCAGAGGCAGGCGGATCTCTGTGAGTTCAAGGCCTGCCTGGTCTACAGAGTGAGTGCCAGGACAGGCTCCAAAGAATACAGAGAAACCCTATCTAAAAAAAAAAACACAAAAAACAAACATATATATATATA